TCTAATTAGTGAAGCTAGATTTTTATTAGTGATGTGAGCAGTGGTGAACATAGGCAATCCATCTGTATAAAAATTTCATCTAATTAGTGTACCGAAGTGTTAGTTTTTTTATGTTTTATGTCTGTAATGGAGAGGGGGGGGGTACAGGGGAGCCGCAAAAACCTAACAATTAAACTTACACTCACAATTTTCTTCGAAAATATATGTGAGTTCCACAAAACAAATCAATAAAAAAAAGGATTCAAATCTCACTATTACAACTAGTGGGTTTCGTGTTTTATTATGCAAGAAAGATATAAAATCTGATTTTGTTTATCTGGCTTCGCGATAGGAAAGAAATAGTGTTTTTCAAGTATATAAAAACGATTTCATATCATCGGCTCTGTTACAGTCACTAGTCGACGATTTTTCGAGTAAACTGCGATTAACCTGTAAAATTGGCCTGGTTTATTTTTAACAGTGATAAAATTTGATGTCAACCTAATTGTATGCCAATGAAATTCAACAAATATATCATTAAACACAAGTTAGAAGTAGCTGAAATATCCACTGACAATCTAAAAATACGTCATTGATCGAAAAAATATGAAAATAAACAATAATAGAAATTTTTTTATATTTTACCGAGCCTACCTAGTGTTACATTTTTAAAGAACAATCAACTGTGAAGAGACATACGAATGGCTAGTATTTGCTTATGACGTCATTTTTTAATAATTATGACTAAATCAATACCAAGTGCTATGCTTCGCACCGCATTAATATGATTTCAATGTATGGAAACGAATAATTGTTTATATCATGCAAAACATATGGTATGTTCCTATCTTTATGCTCACTCTTCAATACAATTCTCTTTTGTTTATCATATCGATCGATATTCAATGAAGTCTTATGTCGACGATTTATTCATATTCAAATGTTTTGAGCGAAAAAGCCTTTCGATGTTGATCTCGCCGCTTCATAATGAGAAACAGAGTACACATGGTATCGTCTATCATCTTTTCTTCACGTCATCTCTTTGTTCAAGATGCTCTTCTCGCATTTTATTTCTTCTCATCGCATATCATATGAACTATCAAATAAATGTCGATTCCCACGATCAATCGAACACTTTTTCGACTAGACATACACGGAAATGAACACACAAACACATGAGAAGATGTTTTGTGTGTTGTTCACGCCAACACTATAATTGCCTTCTTTTACCGGTGTGCATACACCAACATGAAAAGAAACATAGAACTATACTGAACATCTAGCAATAGTTTTTCTAAGACGTGTCCAACACAAATTATCCATCCTTGGATAATACTTTAGAGATTTATTCATCTATCTCTTCTTTTTTTTTCTTTGACAAACACGCATCTAACCGCCGATACTTTTCTATAATACATAGATAATTGGAATGAATGCACTCAATTCATCATCAAAACTGTCCGCCATCGCATGATATTGTCTGTCTACTTCAAAATTGCGGATATCCGAAAAGCGGCATTGTGTCCTTTCTATTCATTGTATTCGTCGCCTACCTTAACTACTCTAGTTGTTTCAGTTGTCCTTTGTGAAATCGTTTTTTTTTATTGTTCTGAATTCTGAACAGAAGATTTTGTTTATTTATCGCTAACAACACTTGTCTGGTTGCTAAGCAAGCAGCTGAACATATATATATAGTCAACGATTGGAACGTCCGCGCGCGCACTCACATTCGTGCGCATATGCTCATGAACATTGTCGTCTTAAGATTATGCATACAATGCGGACGACCAGAAAATGAGAGACAGAGAGAGAGAGAGAGAAAAATAATGAAGAACATAACGATCGAGCACGGAAGAAAGAGAGAGCGCGAGAGAACGATTGTCCAATTTTTTGTCTGTTCTCTCTTTTTTTTGTTTCATAGACATGCGCTCGCGTTTTCTCATTCATTGCTACCATTGACCGCCACCCGTCATCATCACTACAAATGAAACAACAGTTTTTATAGAAAAAAGAACTAACTATATATATATATAGAATTCTTCGTTTAATCTTTGTTCAATTTATTATTATTATTATTAAATACCTTACCCAATATGGGTGCTAATGATAGCCCAATAACAACTCGTTCAATTATAACTGATTATTTCGATTGGCGTCTAAATAATAGAACAATAACGAATAACCGTTTATTTCTAATTGTACGCAAGATCGCTAGTGATCGTGAAGCAGAATATCGTGATCAACAACCAACATTTAATTTCCGTTTTGAACAATCACCAGTTGACTTACAAACGCTAAATAATATTCAAACTATTCATCGAGAAATTGCAAGAGAAATGTTTGCTGATGGTGTAGTAACATGGAAACGTATCATAACATTTATATCATTCTCAGCTGCGTTAGCTGAACATATTATACAACAGCAAACAAATACTTTACCACGGACTTTAATTATTTCATCTGTGATCGATTGGACAACGAACTTTATTGATACCGACTTTCAAGAATGGCTTCAAAGTCAAAACTATTGGGTAAAGAAACTATTCAATAAAAAAAATTTCCTTTCTATTCATTTTTTTTTAAAGACCGGCTGCTTGAAGGTTTATGAGAATATACTGCAACGACGAAATTCAATTGGTCGTTATGCTGGTATACTTGGAACTATCGGTTAGTATTTGACCTTTTATTATTATTATTGATTCCCTTTGTTCTATATACAATGATCGAATAGAATCCTTAGAAAAGGCGTGCCACATACGACAGGTGATTAGATATGTGTTAGAACAACAGATTAGTAGAAAAGGCACGTATGCGTGACAATGCTATGCCTTTGGGAGGAGGAAGTGAGTTCGATAGCCAGATGTGATACATACATCGAGAGGATAATAGCTTTTGCCATGAATAAGAAGAAAAAAAAGCAGTAGTGACAATCCATTAAACAATCAAGATGCATGAATCTTCATACTGCCACCTACTAGGCTAATGTGATAACAAGCAAAACGTGTATATGTGCTTTATCCGATTCGAAAGAATAAAACTAATTATATGTACACAGCATGATATATTCATCTTTTGTTTTGTTCTAGGTATGCTCACACTCGGCGCTTTGTACATGCGACGGAGTTGAAAAAGGCTCCTTTTTTGTTTAATTGTTTTGCTTTTTTTTGTAACAGTGATGCCTTGCTTTTTTTATATTACGATTGTTGTTCATCTTGTTTTGTGGAATATATAACTAAATCATAATGTATGTACAGATACATCGGATATGAAAGATAATTTTATGATAATTCATGTGAGAATATCTACTCAAGAGAAATGCAAGATAGTATTTATTTATTTATCAGATTATTCATTAAAAGTTTATATCTAATTTCATTTTGTCGATAGATGAATTTGTCTATCCGTCATGCGGTGTGCTTTTTTTTCTATATAGTCGACCTGAATCTTGGACACATGAAGAAAAAAAAGATGACAATTAGAATGAATGAATTAATCTTATAAATTAAAAAAAAAAATTTGTGAGAGTAAATGACAGTTGTTTTTGATTATTTGTTTTAACAAGAAGTGTTTCGGTTTCAACGATAATTGTTAGCAAAGTATCCATTCAAGTGAGAGACAAAAAACAACGCATTAGTTCACAATAGTTCTACTGTATATATATATATATATATGATTTTTGTTGATTCGAAATAATCATCTAAATAAATAAGACTTTCGTTCATTGAATGTGTTTTTGTCCATAGATTCAATATCTACATAGAAAAATCTAATGATTTATTATGAAATTGAAATCGTCGAATTTCAAAATCATAAAATACAATATAAGATTACTGCAATTAGTGAAATTATCTGCTTTTGTTTCTATGGATACTAAGTAGTCATGAATTGACTAGGATCAATATTGGATGTGGTGAGTGAAATAGTTTTATAGCAGTACTCGGTGAATTATATAAATGTAAAATAATAAGAAGAAAGAAATAGAGAAGTGTACAAAATGAATAAAAGCCTTGATAAGAGAAGTAAACGAATGTTTTTTTTGAATCATAAATACTTTGAGTTGCTGAAGATAAGTATTATTTGTTTCTCTTAATAAAATTGGATTATATATAATTTTGAAGCAATTTTGTCTAGTGCGAATAAAAGAAAATTTTTCTTACCTTGATTTTTAAAGTTGATTTATCATTATATACTTTCGATTGCTAAAAAATATCTTCTCATTTTGAATTTTTTTATTTTTATCTTTGAATTTTATCACAATTTGATAGATAAATAAAAGAAACTTACATGAATAATCCAAAATCAGTTATCATCGAATCAATTTAGGGCCTATTATTTGACTAATATAAAAAAACAAAAGTTGTGCATACTCGAGACGCAAAGATCATGGTACGTAATATTATTTGCCTCTTTTATTGCCCGGTAAGAATTAGTGCCTTTTAAGTTTTTCTCTTTCTCCGTAATTCTATTCTTATCTTATTGATCAAACATTGATATATGTTAACTACTTTTTTTTGTAGTCGCATTTATTGAGATACCATCAATCCGTTCGTCGATAAAATTTTAAAAAGCAGCAATGGGTTGTGGAGGCACGAAGCCAACAACAACTTCTGTTCAACCAAAACAACAGCAATCGCCAAATGAAGCGGGAGCTGACCAGAATCAAGAAGGATTGACTTCTGCATCCCACAGAAGCGCAACTCATAGCGTGGCATCTTCCGTACATAGTCGAAGATCTTCGAAGAATGGTAAGGAACCATCCATACGTAGTCGGACACCTGTTGATGTGATGGGAAATCCATCGCCCGCGCATAATAACGTGTCTCCAGCGAATGATGATGCAGAATCGACACCTAGCCGACCAGCAACTCATCTATCGAGTAAAAGTAATGAACACAAACATTCTACTTCAGGTATGTGAAATCAGCTAGAATGAACATTTTATTCAAATGATATATATATATATGTATTTTAGCTGTTGAACTCGATAACAAGTCCGCTCGTAAAAACACACAATCACCGGTATCATTTCTGAACGCTACGTCTGAAAAATCGAAAATACGTTCGTCAACACGAAATTCATCAGTGACTCCTTTGCCACACATTGATAGAGATGAAACAGGTTCAATATCTAAATTTTGTGCACCTAGAGATGAAAAAGCATCACATGACCATGCTTTTCGCTGTCGTTACTGTCGTCATTGCCGTAAGTTGGGAAGTGGACGAATACGATCAGCTCCCAAACTTAAATGGATTATAGAAAATCCGGCCTTAAATGAATTTGTTATTGAAATGGATAATTATGATCTTGATGCTGTGACGAAAAATATTATTACAGAAAATGGTCATTTTCCAGGTTGTTATGATTATCGACCTTATCTAACAATGGATGAATTAAATTATACAAATAATGTTCAAAACGATAGTGATTACTATAAATTACCATTTATTACTCGAAAAACTTCGCATATTACAGTTGCGCATACTCCATTTCCAGAGTATGATTACCTTCAACGCCATGATCAACGTCCTAACAAACCTTATGATTTATCATTATTTGCTGATTAACTTTTTTCCCCTCAATTTATTTAATATTAAGAAAGTATATAGAGATCCCTTTTTCTGACCCGCTCGAAATTCACGCCTTGATTCTTCTAGTAGAATAAATGCTTCTGAATTTTATTATTATTTTTCAAATGATTTTTTTTGCTAATAAATACTTAAGACAGAAATATTATATAGTAAATTTGAATTGTAATATTAAAAAGAAGGCAAAAAATAAATTTATTATCGTTTAAACATAGCAACCAAACAAGAAGTAAAAATAAGAAAAATAACACATACAAAAATGAATTTAACTATTGTATTGGTTTTTATTATATTGATAATTCTACTTAATTATATTGATAATAAATCATTAGATGATGCAACGATGAAATCTCAATTTTTAACTAATCATACACAGACTATCATTCAAACTCGAGCAAACTATCGACACACGCAAAATATATTATCTGAAACTATGAATAAGAAAAATAACATTTTAAAGAGAAGATTCGTTCGATGTGCATCTCACTGTCAACCACATGATTGTTGTAGAAAAACAAGGTGTCTATGTATAAATGATTATTGGGGACCTGTTTGCTATTGTAGAAAATAATCACTACTTATTTAACTAGAATAATACAATGAAAATCATATTTCATTGCACGTGACTGATTAAGTGTGCAAATTAGAAATCGAAAAGAAAAAAAAAGAAAAACTTGAAATTAATCTTATTAGCTATATACGAATAGTCTACCATCGATTGGAACCACTTGGTTCAATTGATTACTAATCATTTGTCTCTCTCGTAAACATGAAGATGTGCCGTTGCTAATCTTTCTATTCTCTCTTTGCGTTCGATTATTTGACTCCCTATGTAGTATTTGTTCGCTTTTCTTCGTAGAACGATTTTTCTCTCCCACATTTCTATATGATGTCTTTTAGATCGATCTCGATCGTCAGAGACGTGCAAGAAATATAAAAATACAAGATCTTATTATTTGGCGTGCCTTTTTCTTGCCATCATTGTGCTATTTTTTCTTCTGCTTGTTTGAAAGCGAAAAAAAACTGATTATCTACTCATGAACACGTACTGATAACTATGGGTCACATCTTCTACGAGTAAAAATGGCAAACATGATGGATGCATAATAGAATCAAACTAACTATTCCAATGACAATTCTATGGTAAAAAAAATAGAGCAATTTTCTTTTGATCACTACAATGAAGGCTTTTTAGTTCTTGTAAACAACACATTTTCTTTATCGATTATCGTAACGACAGCTGACACGCATCATTTAATCGTTTCTAGTCAAAGTAGTACCAATAATAAATTCATTTCAAATACATTCGGTTTCATGGTAGTCATTTAAGTCCATGTCGATTATTTATTTACTTGTGTTTTTTATCATATGTGGCGGTAGTAATAAATTTCTTACCTTTGTTCACACATCTGAAGATGAAAATCGGCTGATACATTATTTATTTTCCGAACAAGGCTATAATCCACTTGTACGACCAACGAAAACTTCGAATGAAACTGTTGTTATAGCATTTGGTCTTTTATTAGTACAATTGATTCATGTAATGTGCTAAAAATAAAATGACTTATTTATATCGAAATATTTTATTTTATCATTCATAGGTCTATGAAAAAGAACAAATTATGAAAACAAACACATGGTTACATATGAAATGGTATGTTTTAAATTGACGGAAGCCATGTAAATATTAGAATTATTATTTTAGGTATGATTCAGAACTGCGTTGGAATCCGGATAGATATGGTTGGAAAATTCTATTTTGTTTTTTTGCTTTTGAGTAATTGAATATATTTTAATGGTTTTAGGAGGTATCTATCAAATAAGTGTGCCTTTTACAAATGTTTGGACACCAGTAAGTTGCTTATACGTCTTGTACTCACTGAATATTTTCCTATAGAATTAACATGAACTGTTTATTATAGCATGTCAATAGAATTTTATTCTATAGATGAAACTTGTTAGTAATAAACTCGTAAATCGATAAATCTAAAATGCTTTATTTATCATAAGTGATACTATGTGATTAGAATTCAGTTTCTTCAATATTGCAAAGAGGTCAATAAAAAGATGAATTAAACCTTTATAATGAAAATTGAAGTTATATGTTCGTCACTTATCATCATAAAAAAAAGAAAGATTTGAGTCAATTGTAACAACTAAGCCTTCAGATAACAGCTTATCCACTTGAACATAAAATAGAAAAGAATTCTTGACTTTTGAAATTTGCTTTTCTTCAATCTTTAGGATGTTGTTTTATTCAATAATGCAGGTATGAAATCATTCGTTGTAAACGTAATTTTTATTGTCTACGATTTTAATTGACAGATGGCAATTATGAAGTACCATTTAAATCAAAAGTAATTATTGTTTATACAGGTGAACTTCAATGGGTTCCACCAGCTATCTATAAATCTTCATGTCGTATTGATGTCAAATTTTTTCCATTCGATACTCAAGAATGTGAAATGCGTTTTGCATCATGGACATATAATGCTCGAGAAGTAACATTCACTCATTATCCTGAAGAACAAGATACAGAATATGAAATAAATAAACTATTAGTACAACAAGCAATCAGTAGCACTACCGATGAAAAATCCAAAGATGATTATCTTGAAAGTGGAACATGGGATGTTATCGGTGTATGAAAAACTCTTTTTTTTGTCTAACTATAGAAAAATAATAATATGAAATTTTGTTTTTCTTTTCTCTTCTTCTGCATGCTATAGATTCCAAGTAAATTTGTTCATTATCGTTCAAATGCATCAAGTGTATCCCCTGATTATATTGAAATCGTATTTTTAATTAAAATGAGTCGTAAAACATTATATTATACAGTCAATTTAATTGTTCCAACAGGTTTAATGGGCATTCTTATATGCATTGTATTTTGTTTACCAACGGCAGCAGGCGAAAAAATGACATTATGTATGTCAATACTTTTAGCATTAAATCTTTTTCAACTTCTTGTGACAAAAATTTTACCACCAACATCAGCTGTTGTTCCATTAATAGCTAAATATTTACTTTTTACATTTACACTCAACGTTCTTGTTATTGGTGAGAAGAAAAACAATGAGATATCTTGTTTATATTTACTTTTCTCATTTGTTTTTGTTTTTAGTGAATACAGTAATTATCACAAATTTCTATTATCGAACACCAATGACACATACAATGCCTGCGTGGTTGCGACGTATCTTTTTGCACATACTTCCACGTTTATTATGGATGGAATCGCCGATACTGCAAGAGAAACGCAGAGAAAATAAAATCTCATTACATATTCATAAGATTGAACAATCTCTTGTTCTTGAAAATCCTATTCACACAATTAGTGAAACGATTAATAGAAGGCAAAAGAGGAAAACAAAACATGAAGACAAGGTAATATTTTAACAAAAGAAATATTACCAAGAGTTTATGATCATTAGAAAATACGATTGATTTGATTATATCAGAAATACATAGATAACTATTGAAATTTTCCTGTCTATGAATTTTAATCAGTGAACGTTAATGATCAGGAAACTGAAACTGCCATATGTCTATTCGAGTATGAGGAATTAATACGATGTCTCGATGAATGAGTAATAGCAATGTAATGACGACATTTCAATGTTCATTGATACGTCGTCTGTTCGTTATCAGAAAGCGCTCGATTGGAAATAAAGATGACTCAAGTTTTATCGGGCATTCATCATTAGTTTGCATCTGATCGGTTGCCATTAGAATTTCATTAATTATGATCAACGATTTTTTCTTTAAAAAAATTAATCTTGAAAGTGCTAATATCTGTTATTTATACGGATATAAACAACAAAGAATAAAAAAAAATACAAAATTGTTAAAACCCTACAGAGATTCTATTCATGTTTAGAAAATGTCTAGTGATAAGAATTCTTTTCGTCTATTGATTATTATTATTATAATTATTTGGAAATTATGAATAATAGATAGATTACATATTATAAGATGATCAGTGGCTATACCAATGAAATATCCACTTTCAAATACTAAAATAATGTTTTCATTCAAAGAAATTCAACAGATCGAGGAAATACTTTTTTTAGAACAAAATTGAATAAATGTCAATAGAGAAAGCCGATCTGATTCAATTCATATTTGATCACTTATAGTCATGCTAAAAACAATTTTTCTGTGTAAAAGTTTTACTAAATCTACAATAGAAAATTCTTAAATAGTATATCATTTCATTTTTTTTTATAAAGAATCATCCAGTACGTAGTGAATCGACTACCTCATTTGCTGCCTACGTCAATGATAAACGTCGAACATCAACCATTCTCATGCAACCCAATACACATGCGAAACATCACCGTCGTCACCGTCAGCATCATCAACAACAGTATCAAAAAGAAAGACAAAAGATTCTTCTCGAGGAAAACCATCCACTTATTGCAGTTCATTCCAATCAAGATTCTAATGCGAATTATCATCGACTGCAAATTCAACATATGCGACGAGAACTAACTCAAGCTCTTCATAATATTCGTTATATAGCTGCACATTGTTCACACGAATCATTTATTGAATCGATACGTGACGAATGGAAATTTATTGCAACTGTTATGGATCGTCTTCAATTTATTATCTTTTTATCAGTGACAATACTTGGATCGTTAGCTTTACTTTTTCAAGTATATCATAAATTCACTTTTCTCTTTAAAGTAATCTTTGTTTCTTCTATAGGTACCTGATCTATTCAAATTCACTTCAAATGATTCTGAAAAACTTGTGCGTTTTTCAAATCCTAATATGACTGTTCATGAATTGATTAAAAAAACTTGAATACACACACACACACACACTGAACAGTACACAAAAAACAAAGAAACTTGTAAAATATGAATAGCGTTAAACTTTAAAGTGAACGTTTCCATCTATGGTTGTATCTAACAATATGACTCAAATTTGCCTATGTAATCTTTGATAAATGAAAGGTGTTGGTCACACTTAATCCGATAAATTCTTAATATTTACGCGATAACACGTTTTCAACAAACTTAAAATGTGTCGGTATGTGACGCTCTATTGCCAGTTGTCATACAACATTACAATAAACATTGCTATTAATTCAAACGGAGACAAATATTGATTTGTTATTGTCCTCTAAATAAAGAAAAAATTTCATGAAAATTTAACTATCGGAAAGTCATGAAATACATATATTATGTTTACATTGAATCGGATTTGATGTGATTTTCAAATGTTTTCTTTAAAAACAATGTAGATATCATACGAAAATATTTCGAAAAAAAAAATAACAATTTCATTCAAATAGCCCATCATTCATTTTTTGACAACTTAATAGCTAGTTTCATTTGCGATATATTAATCAATAGAATATCATCTTTAATGGCTCATCTTAATTATTTTCTTTTTCAACTTTGATCTTTTAATTTGAATCTGCACATATGAAATTTTTGTTTGTCGAATCAAAACTATCCTGCTACAACAACAATCCTCCGTAACGATAATCTTGCATACATATCAACACATATTTATACAATCTTATCCTCTTGATAGACAACATTCCAAAAGTGCATAACGGCATCAATACACCTTACGGCTATTGATTTCAATGAAATTGATATTTGATTCCCAAACATTGTAACAATAACAAATAGTTAAACATTTTACTTTTGTTTTTATAGCGTTGAAACATACGTATCGACATATGTCATATATACATCATTTGATCTCAGCTGGAAGTATAATAGTCGATCGACATGTGAAAAAAAGAAGATAATCAATGTTAATGTAAAAAGAGAAATGAACATGGAACATATTTGTTTTCATTGTAAATGAGAGTGAAACTGTACAAACACGACTGTCATACTTCTGTCTGCTTAAACACAGTAGGCATTTAATGTTCTTCATTGATCACCACAGGAAAAGTAATTGATGACAACAGACAAGCAGACAGACAGATAGATAATAGATAGATAGATAGACAGACCGTATAAGAAAAGCATCATTTTCTATTGCCGATCGATTGATCGATTCAGTGAAAAAGAAGATGTGCGTTTGTCTGTCAATCACAATCGTCGTGATTTTTTAATCTTTTAATAACAAGGAAGTATTCTTCTTCTGAATAATTTCTTCTATTGAAGTCGTGCAAACATGTCGCTCGATTAGTTTTTATTGTCGTTTGACTGAGTTCATTTTGATGATATTTTAAAAATGAAACGTTCAATCATGTGTAGCAAAACATATAAAATTAAAATCGATAGTGAATGTCTTGTTTCAAAATTTGGATTTAAAACCACGCGTCATTACTCATTGAACTCATTTGATATGCATATGGACAACAAACGAAAGATGGACCGAACTTCTTCTTTGTTTTTATTCAGGTGCAAAAAATACATTCATTCATTCAATCAATACCTTTTTATTCCGTGTCTTTAAAATATGACTAGGCAGGGATTGACCACAGGCATTATTAACAAATTCAGTTGGAATAACATCAAACAACAAGTATATTCACACTGAGAATATGTTCTGTTATTGTCTACAACATGTCTTTAAGTGAACTACTCGGAAGAGAGATGTGTTTTTCTTTATTCTACTTTAATTGCCTTGTTATTCTATAAGTATGCATTGAATATCTACTTCCTTGAAAAAAACTATTTCAATAGAACATAGGCTGTTGACACTTGAATGAACAGCAGTAGACGACAAAAAATACTAATGAGTCGTTCACACCTGTATGACAGACGAAACGACAAAACGATCGTTTGATGATACACATTTTGTACATGTATGAAATAGCTTAGCTGATTCTTTCTAATCTTTTCTTTTCTTTTTTTGTACTTCTTTCATTCATGTTTGTTGTCACACAATCGATCAAATTGAAATAGACCAGAGCCCATTTAACAATAATTTTTGTTCTTCGAAAAAACAAATAAAATAAAATAAAAACTGATAAATAACAGAGACATCCTGTCAATGATTTAAAACATTTGTATACTTTTTACCAAATATGATCTTTGTTATAAAAAAATAAAAAAGAGAAAGCAAATAAGAAATGTACAAATAGCCTTGAGCTTCACTTTACTATCAATTCTTTGCATGTTTATATAAATTCTTCTAGGTTTTTCAGTCGTCGCCTGTTTATTCAACAGATGTGCTTCTAATTGTGATCGGGGCGTGTATATATTGAACGAGAAAAAGGAGGAGATTGAACAAAAAGGAAATAGCAAAAACAAGACATTGACAAACACGCACATGTATGCGCACGCGCGCACGGAAATCGTTAATTTTAGACAACGATAAATCGCCCTAAAGCTTCATTCTACTTTATCTACACACACACACACACACATATATATATATTTATATATATATCTGTATTAGGAAAAAAAAGGTCAATGGCATTTAATGTTTTTGCTAATAGACATTCAACGATTTTCTTAAACGTAATCTTTAGATATGAAATCGAACGAACTGTGACATAATTATATGATAGAAAAGATAAAGTCAACTACGATCACTAAAGCATGAAATATGAAGAGATTTGTATTCTTTTGTTTAACATACATTAGTATTAAACCTTGGAACAGTATATTAAAACATTGATGAATGCTTCAAAGGATTTCCGTTTTATTATGACTCATGTACTTTTCACATGACAAAGAATTCTTTTTATTATTATTACTATAAACACACAAGCACACATACATACACATTGACTTGTTCAACAAAGCAGAAAAGAAAAGAAAAGAAAGAAAAGCGAATAATTATTGTACCCAAGCAAAAAATAGATTTAAATAAAATTTCCTTTTTTTTCCCTCTCAAAAGGCTTTCATACTAGAACATGTGTTCTGATCGGATGTATTTGACAATTATATACAGGTGGAATTTGTTGATATATGTGATAACAATCATTTGCTAATTGACTCGTGTCCGTCGATGAATGCATTGAACATTCACTAGTATCACAACTTTGTTGTTGTTGTTGCTGTTGCTGTAGTTGTTGTTGTTTTGGGGGATAACTTATAATATTTAATGGACGATAAAATATAGAGGAATGCGGTGGTGGATGGTATAACGTATTCGTTGGTGATTTTTCAATAGAATTTGACAGTTTTTTCCTTGATAAATGACGTATACGCCAGCAACAAACAATAATAAGCATAACACAAACAAATATTGCTCCGAGTAATATTCCACTAAGCAGATAGAAATATTGTGATGATTGATAGTTTTCATGTTTATCTGTTGATATAACAAGTGAAGAGGATTTTACTTGTTGTAATTGAATATTACGACAATATTTATTATGTGGAATATTAAGACAAATCATGTACATAGATGAATATTCTTTTAAATAATCTTTAATATCAATTTCTATCGAACGTTGTTTACCATCGATTAAACGTTGTAATAAAATATGGCGATTGATTTCATCATAAATTTGTAAATGAAAATATTTCGGTGATACAGATAATAAATATTCCCATGTTATAGTCAACATTCCATTTGGATTGTACGATATGTCATTTATTATTAATTCATCAATTATAGTTGATGAGGATATACTTGTAGTTTTAATAGATGTTAATTGTGTACTTGTTGATCTATATAAGAAAAAAGTAGCCTTCAAAATGAAATTCAAATGGGAATAAAAACGTAGCACGCAATCAAATCGTTCACATAGTAAATGAGAAATTTCTTCTTCTTCTTCTTCGTCATTTTTTTTTGTTCCGTGATTAGAATTTATGATTAATCATGATTCGAGGTCATTTCATCTAACCTTATAAAGGACAATCGAAATCGAATGATTCTTAGTTTTCAACTACACCATATGTTTTATGTATTTTTTGTTTTCGAACATCTAACTATTCTATTCATAATCAAAACAGAAACTTACTTAATAGGTAAATTTTCAGTATGTTGACATTGTGAATAATCATTTTCAGAGCAAATCATATCGTGCTCATCGATGACAGTTAATTGTTTTCCAACGAGATTTACCGGTGTTGCACATGTCCATTGAAGAAATTTAATTAAATCATAATCATAATTTTTGATTAACCATTGTTTAAGCCAACGTAAATGACAATTACAGTGTAGAGGATTTCCAGTAAGGCCAATTGTTTTTAAATTTTTATATTTATATAAATCATTTTTATTCAATGTACATATATGATTTGAACTTAGATCAAAATCAGTTAATTTTGATGATGGAAAATCTTTTTCAAATAGATTTGGTATCGATTGAAATAGATTTCTTTGTAGATCAATTGATATCAATGAATCAATTGAATTTTTTAGAAAACCTTCCGGTAGATCTTTTAAACTGTTCGATGATAATTTAAGGCGTTGTAGATTAAGAAATAAATCAAATGGATTATTTAGTAAACTAATTGATGTTAGATTACAATTTTGTAATGATAATTCCATTAAATTGGTTTCTAAACCTTGAAATATTAATTTCGATAGATTTAAATGTATATTTCGATCTAGATTTAATATTTCCAATGAATTTAAATCTTGAAATGGTTGTTGATTAGATTGAAGTTGTAAACGATTTCTTGCTAAATTTAAATAGATTAAATTTTTCAAACCACGCAATGATTTATTCGTTAAATAATTTAAATCATTGCCTTGTAATGATAAATAAGTAAGTTTTGTATTAAATTGAAATAAACTTTCGGGTAAAAAAGTTAAACGATTAAAATCTAAATTTAATTCTTTTAATGAATTTAATATTGTTAGAAAAGTTAATTGTAATGAATTTATTTCATTATTTTGTAAATAAAGTTTTTCTATAGAAGAAATTTTTTCAAAAAAATTCTTCTCAATGATTTGTATACCATTTGATGATAAATCGAGAATTTTCAAATTTTTCAATAGGAAATTCTCTTTCAGAGAATTTATATTATTTTGACTTAGTGTTAAAATTTCTAAATTATATAAATATTTCATTAAAACAGACCATATATTATCATTCAATTGATTTTGATCAAGATGCAACGAACGTAATGTTGTTAATGAATTAAAACCGTTGAATTCAATAGATTTTATATTGGATTTTGTAATAGCTAATTCTTCTAATTTACGATATTTAACAAATGTATTATTTCTAATAATTGTTAAATTAAGATTTATTAATTTTAATGAACGTAAATTAATTAAATTAAATTTTATAGCATCAGGTATTTCATAGTTAACACTAGAATCAAATTCAATAATTAATTCTTCAAGATAATTTGCTAGTTCAATAAAGCCACGACTATCGATTGAACGAATTTTATTTCCAGATAAATTTAAACGTTTTACACGAAGACCTTGAAATGCATTTTGACGTATTTCAGAAATTTGATTATCATTTAAAACAAGTTCATCGTAGAATGTATTAGTTGTACGAGAAAAATTTGGAATTTCACTTAATTGTTTACGACCACAATGAATATAACTAAGAGACAAACAATAGATTCAACTTGAAAAGAATATATTTATCTTACTTTGTATTATCTTGTCGAATACCGGCTTGACAGATCGTTTGAAAATCTATTTGACAATAATAAATGGGAAGAATAAGAGTCATTAAGATCAATTGAATATACATTTTGTTTTTAAATCTAAAAGAATTTCAAACAGCTGTCCGATGATCAATGGTTCATTAATAGAAATAAAAGAAAGTCAAAAGTACCATCTGGCTGAATGTTCAGTAAAATGTTAATATCAAATGTGTTGAACATTTCACGTCTTTTTTTTTATCTCACCTATATTACTGATTAGATTTTTTCTATACTAGTAGCAACATTCTTTTCGACAAGTGTTGAAGTATGTAGAAAGAAAATACAGCAGCTTGTTGAGTGATATTTGATTTCAAAGTGAACACACTCTTTTTCTTTCCTCTCGCACTCATTCACTCTGGTCGTACGTTCAATGAAAGCGAGAAGGAAAAAATGCAATTGGCTTCTCTTTCTCTGTATCGGAAGAAATAGAAGGAGAGAGAGAGAGAGAGAAAATAGGATCTATATGTACAAACAGCATATACGTACGTCTTCTTCTTGTTTTACATCATCATTATGATCATTCCAAAATAGAAAAGATAGGTGACACCCGGGTTGTCTACACTCATCGATCATTATAAATGGTATTCCGCCACTAACTGAGCTATGATCTTTTCTAGGCTAATGTGTATATACATCTCTTACACAATCGAATTATATTCTTGCAAAAGGTCATTAGCAGGTGTACCATATGATCGGCATTTGATACGCAAAAGTAGAAATAGAATAAATGTACCCAGAAAAGCTCACATATCCGTGTGAAGATGACTAGAAATAGGCTAAATGAAATGATGATAATGTTGAACTCTGTAAAGATGAAAAGAAAAAAAAAGAAAGAAAGAAGAAAAAATGACACACACACACACACATTCCATCTTATTAATTTTGTGCCTTTATAACTCATGAGGGAAGGGTCTCTATAATTTTCTTGTAATCGTGTGTCGTACGGTCATTCTTCTTCAGTTAACCACCAAGAACAATAGGGCAAAGAATGAGTAGAATACATGATGAATTTCAAGTTGCAATACACTTACGTCAACTGTCACTTCAATTAAAGATGCTGTTCACCCATTGCTTCGTTCTCTCTCTCTCTCTCTCTCTCTTTGTCGTTTTTTTTGTGGCTTTCGAGACATATTGCTCGAAGAAAAAAAAATTAGATTCTCACAGTAGGACATGTGTAGCTTCCAACATACTAGGAAGTTTATATGTCATCCGGATGTATATAGATATACATGTATGCATGTTTGAATGAGAACAATAGAGGAACAAATTGTTCTTAACAATCGAAAGATGTACATCAACAAGAGAATATCACCACAGTGATAATGATAAGCTAAATAAAATGATTTCCGTATCTATAATAGTTGACATCTCCATCTCGTCTTGTCTTTCCTTGTCTATTTGAATGTGATGTGACGCATGGAGAGGCTAATGATCGAATGACTTGATAAGAAAACTTATGCCTTAAAGCGAAATTCTTACCAGAGAGCAATACGATGAGTTATACAGTTGTCATGAGAATAATACATGAAGCAAAGGACATTGTTTTTTTCTACTTCTTATACATACATATTTATGTGTACATGTCATCAATTGATAATTGATTGTTTTTCTATTTCGTCGTGAAAATTTGATTTTCTCACACTATCCATAGTTGAGGTGTGAACAAGTTTCACGTTTTTCCTCCCGTGAAAATGTGAGCAAGCTGTTACTACTGTTGACGAAATGACAAATCAATTCTCTAGGTGACACGAAAAGCTATTCTTATGACTATATGATTTAATGCAACTATTGAACAAATAAATAATAATATATTTCAACAAGAACGATGTCGATAATAATACTTGATAAATAGTTAAAGATCTCATAAAAAGAATTTTACCGTTAGCTGATCTTCTTTTGATGATTATCACCTAAGATATGAAGGTAAGCGTGTGAATGTTAGTATGTTTCATCTACCACTCGTGCATTACCATTGTCTGCAATTAGACAAGAGAAGAAAAAAAAGTAGTTCACCTTATCTCTCTTGATATATATATATATATATATATATATAAATATAAATGTGTGTGTGTGTGTAAAAAGACAACGAAGCGAAGAAGCTCAATGATCACAAGTCGGTCTTTTGATAATGATAATATTGTAAGCAGGCGCACATGCGCTTCTCTACTACAAGCACTATCATAATCACGAACAAAGCCAATGTCTATGTTCATTAGTGAAAACCAGAAGCCTTTTATTTTCTTTTTATTTTCTTCTTGTTGGCCAGTGTACAAGCGAAAAGTTCAATTGATCGTTTTTCTTTCTCCTTCATCCATATCGAGTATCTCTCCATTCCAATTTCCTGACATGTCGTCTCGAGTTGACTGCTTTATAAATCTATCTCATTAATAGTGTTCATCGTTGATCAAACTGACAAATGACTAAAAAACAAAGAAGAATTCCACTAGATGACCATTCTTTTTAACATTAGAAAAGAAAATGAATGAAAAAATTATAACTAAACCGCGAGAAACATGTCACGTTTTCACGCCATATCCTTATGAATGTGTCCATTCTATATTGATAGATGATCAAAAAAAAAAGAAAAAACAACATATTATGATGGAACGGATTTCACTTTTACATCATCATGTTATAATTCATTGATTTTTTGTCTTCTGTTGTCTACATGCTGAGACGATCAAAACGTTAAAGAAAACAACAATCATATAATTTCGAAGTTAAAAGAAATCGAATTGATTTTAGCGGATTTTTTTTCCATTTTATAACTTCTCTTGTTCTGTGTTAATTGCTACCGAAATAAACAGACAACAACAAGAACATTCATTATCGATAAATGTTATTCAACCGTTGTCAATGGTCATCTGTATTTATAATCATAATACTTGATATAACAAAATAAGATAAGGATATATTTCCGTTGTTTTTTAAAATCGATAGATATTCAAACACAATCATAGACTCTTTTTTTGATTGCATCACACTACGGGTAAAATGTTTCATGCTGCTATATTTAAGAATACTCGAAATAGGTACTTATTGCATATGACGTCAAATGACAGCATGGAAACAGCTTCATTCGATTGCTGCAATTGAAAACATCTTTTCTCCGCGCGATAATCTTCTAAAAGAACGTAGAAGATGCATAAGAAAAATTCAATCTTAAAGAAAAAAAAACTAGCGCGAACATTCCGATAGTGAGTAAAAATCTCTTTATGTGTGTTCATTCATCATATGATAACATTTGAACGATTATCATTAGAACAAAAATATCTATTAACAGATTCTCGAAGAATCAAATGTTTTGTATTCAAATAATTCCCTAAATGAATTAATTATTCTATTAACAATAGATGCATGCTAAAGTTTCTTGCTGATTGTTCGTACCAATGCGCATTTAATTAACTTAGTTGATAAACAAAAAAACAGCTGGATTTAAAAATATGAAGAATTATTTTAATTCTATCTCTAAAGACTCTAATAAAAAATAATGTGCATTATTACTGTATACGTCAAATGAATTATTGATGATATATGGACGTGACAATATTTTCCTGACTCACGTATTCTAGATAATTTATATATAAACAAATGTTTCTTCTTAATTTACCAATAAATATTAAAGAACAAGCTGCCATTGAACGACGTCGATCTGAAGAACAAAAACGTCTATCTCGTATTTTTAATGTTAAATATCGAACTATTGGCGTTAGTAAAATTCTTAAATATTGTATTAAAAAAGAATGGTCTCTAAAATATCATTTAGATTGATAAAACAGCTCTTGATGAACAAGTTCAAGAACGACAATATATGAAAGAATTAGAAAAGCAACGAAATGATGCTTTTGGTAAATGAAGAAAATTCAATTGAAATCAATTTTTATTTATTTAGATCGTGAAATGATTCGTAACGATTTAAAACAAAGACTTCTTGAACAAGAAGACTTTTCTGAACAGCGTCAATGTGCACAAGAATTAAATAATTATCGTCTTCTATATCAAAAACCTGAAGATTCAAGAGAATGGGATTTAAATGATCCAAAAAAATGGAAAAAATTAACACCAGCACGGATAAGTGATGATGATCCTCGTTTAAGTCTATCATCTGGTCAAAAATTTGCTGGTGAAGATCTTCAAAAATCTATTCGAAAAAAATTTCAACAAGAACAATTAAAAAATTATTTTGATTTACAAGTAAAATTTTGAGTTTTATAATAGTTATAACAATATGCTTAATTTTTATAAGACTCAGGTAAAAACAGAAAGAAATAAAGAAGAACGATTAGCAAGTCTCCTGTATGATTATAAACAAATGGAATTAAATGAACAAAGTAATAGATTTGAAAAAATGGAAAATGAATGTCATCGAGCAATAGAAATAGCAACACGAAATTATAATGAAATACTTGTTAGATTCTATTACTATGATAACCGATATGTAAAATAAATTATAATTGTTGTTTTTTTCTCTGGAATAGGCTCATGAAACAAAACTTCGAGTAAATGAACAAAAAACACGGCAGACGGAAGAACAATTAGCTGAGATAGCTAATGCTGCTTTCAGTGATATGTTAACAGAAAGTTCAACAAGTGTATCTGATTCTCGTTGTCATATTATGGTTGATCAATGGAAGGGAATGAGTCGAGATCAATTAGAAGGCATTCGTCGTCAACAATTGTCACAAATTGCTGAACGTCAAGTGCATACTTTTCCATATGGCTTGCCTTGCTTTGTTTTTTCTTATCTTATTTATTGTGTTTAGAAAAGAAATGATGCTGAAAAATCTTTCGATGAAACTTGGAAAAAATATTCCGATGCTATAGCTAAACAAGCAATCATAGTGGAACAACAAATCGAAGACGATAAACGAAAATATAATCATTGCTTAGCTAATGAAAATAAAAATCTTGCTAAAATACAACGTGAACGACAAGATTATCTCAATTCGATTGTATATCGATCGGCACCTGCCGCTGCTTTTTATCAACAATTTAATATGACGAGTCGATAATAATTCAGAGACAAGAAAAATATGAATGCATAAAACTTCCTATCACCTTAAGAAGACGCTTCAACGTTTTTTGCCTAAAGAAAACCCGTAAAGTCATATATTTTACTATAAATAAAAAAACCAAGGTTGCAATTAAATATTGCGCAAAAGGATATTAATAAGCATCACTATAGCAACAGTAAACCAAGAGTAGAATGCTATGGAGAAAAAAAAAGATGGCTTGCCAGTAGACATCATACTTAATTTAACTATTTTTCTACCAATTCTCCGTTCTTTTATGACTTCTCAACAAGATGACAAAGCACTTACGTTTTATTTATGAGTTGATTAACATATTTTGAGAGACTTCGAAGTGATAGTAAGTATTTGATGTTATAATTATCATTATCATTTTTTAGACTTCTACAAAAAAATATCATCATGGACAATAAACCACAGATTATTTTGTACGGTTTAGCGACTTCAACGTGTACTCAACGTGTGATAGCAACATTAACTGAGAAACAACTGAACTTTAAACTTATTTCCGTAGATTTTGCTGGCCGTGAACATAAAGTAAGATGAACAAAGTCACGGCTCAAAAAATAAAATTCAAACTCTAGACTCCAAAATATCTGGAAGAAAAAGAACCATTTTGGTGGGATTCCTGTCATGATTGATTAAGATGGTTTAAAGTTTATGGTACGTTCGTTCGTTTTTTTTTAAATTTTGATTACTGTTCAATTGAAATTAACTATTTTATAGAATCACGAGCTATTTGCCGATATTTAGAATTAAAATATAAAGGCAAAGGTGCAGAATTAATACCAACAAAAGACGGAAAATCACAAGATCTATTTGAACAAGTTGCATCTACAGAAACATCCTATTTTGATCCTTACGCTAGTGGTATCATATAGTAGAACGAGTTTTTAAAAAGGAAAAACCCTATTTTCTAAATATTTTTAAATATCTATTTTCATATATATATATGTAAATGTAGAATGAAAGGACAAGGTGAAGCAGATTAAGCAAAAGTTGCTTTATTCAAAGAAAAATTAAATGCTAATTTAGATGTTTATAAATTTTTTTTATCTAAACAACCATATTTAGGTGGTCAAGTAAGGATTACTTCTATTATATATATATATATGTTTTGAGCAATCTATAGGATTTTATTTTGGCTGATTTATTTCATTTACCTCCTGGAGCATGGCTGGTTAAAATTGGTGAAGGCCATCTATTTGAATCCCGACCACATGTAAAACAATGGTGGGACAAAATAGCAGGACGCGTATCATGGAAACTGTTCAAGCCATCCAATAAAACAAAAATTCTCGTGTAGTCTTAGTTGCTTTTAATTTATTATCTATTTCGATGAAAACATCTAATTCTCAGTTCGAAAAAAAGAAAATTTCTTTGTTTCTTAATAAATATTCTAAAAATCGTAATTGATCGCGTAATTTGAAAATTTTATTCAAAAAAAAAAGTGGTTGCGTATATTATTAAATAGAAATTCAAACAGTAAAACTCAATTTGAAGTAAAGTTTTGATAAAAGAAAAGGAATCCTCTCAACGTTTGCATTCTTCGTGTAGTATTGTAGTCTGTTTGAATTTTAACACATTCACAGATGTGATCTATCACGAGTTTTATTTCAATTCAAGTCATTAACAGTGGAAAAAAGAGTGAAAACCGCTTTTTTCTAAGCTTCTGTGCTAAGACAATATCGTACGAAAAAGCTTAATAAATTACGATGTCATCAAAACTTTACATCAGTCGAAATCAGAATACCACTACAGAATACAAAATAATATTTATTTTAAAATTAGTAAAGTTTGACATGAATTATTGATTCTGTTCAGAATAAGCAAAAAGGACTTATAGTATCATATGGAAATTTGTTTTTATCCTTGAATGAATTGTATTTGTATGAAAGAACAATATTAATGACTTAGAATATATGATCGAGCTGTCAACATGCTGTCTGAACTATTGGAAGAACGCAGAAAGTTTATTTGTCGTCTTCACTTTAAAATTTTGTATAACAAGTTCCTATAAGTAATATTAAATTGTAAGTCTAGATTAAAGGAAATAATATACAAAAATCCTATGTTTAAACTAAATATAAATTGTATATTTTCTCGTAAAAATCATTGCTTTTTTGACACGATGCGACAGGCCTGACGAGTTTGAGGTTATTTGCATGAGCATTTATTGGTTGAATTCATTATTTGATGATCTATTTTAAGATTTAATTCATACAGAATATATGTGGCTTTGAAATGAATAATTATATGACCACTACTATTGCAAATATCCGTGGAAAAATCGCATGAAAAATAATTATATGGCTTCTTAACTGGAATACATCAAAATTTCGATCACATCTCACTAGGGGTGTTACTTTATATTTACTTTACTTTTTAAAGATAAATAAAACCTTTATATTTAAAAAATAAAGATAAATAAAATATTTATATTTATAAAGTAAAGATAACGATAATCTTTATCTTTATAAAATAAAGAAAAAGAAAAAGTAGCTTTATCGTTATTCAATAACGATAAAATAAAGAATAAAGAAAAATATTTTTCCTTAAAAACTCAAAATTTGGTCTTCTCCCGATAGCTCGAAGAAAATTAAGAAGTTCAAGGCTATCAAATTTTGAACACTAGATTTTTTTCCATAAATGATTTATGCCTCACCATCATTTGCTAGTATTATTTCATACTGCAATGTCAGTGATGATAAGCAAGAACTGCAATGAATGTTTTCTGTTGTTATACAAATTATTCATCTATTTACCAGTGACTGTAGAAAATCTTTCTTTTTTCTTTCTTTTAACTTTATCTGTAAAAATAAAGATTATCTTTATCTTTATTTTATAAATATAAAGATTTTATTTATCTTTATTCTTTAAAGAATAAAGATTTCATAAATTCTTTATTCTTTATTTTATAAATATAAAGATTTCATTTATCTTTATTCTTTAATATAAAGATCAATAAAGATAAAGTAACACCCCTACATCTCACAAATAAATTTAGTTTTAACAAAATATTTTTATCTTAAAAACAAGTATTTCTAGGTTTATCAATCAAGAATTACTAATTATCTGTGCGTTCTGTCAACGTGAAGAGTACATATATTTATTGGTTATTTCAAATTGTGGCGAATTGAGACTCTGATAAGTTTGATGTATTACTTGAGATTGCTAATATTTTTTTTTTTGAGTTTAAACAGCTCTTTGTGCAAGCAATTATTCTGATTGAATCAATATTACTGATTTTAAAAGTAAGAGTTATTTTGGCTTTACTTTTTTTCTTAACTCTATAGATCAAATATGCAGATATTTTTTGTTCTATATAGAAACGAAAAATTTGACATAAAAATCATTTTTTTTGTATAGAAAATACTAATGTAACTTAATTCTTTGCAATAGTTGATTTACACTACGGCATTTAGTCGAGCATTGCGATATTCAATACAATAAAATAAATACTTATATATTGTTAACACATAACAAAAGATCCTTCGAGCTACAACAAAAGTTTTCTTATTGAAGAAGATAGTCTTAATTCAGTATTGATGAGTCATCCTAATATTTCCTGTCGTAATTATTAGATAAACAATGTGAACTTCCCATCAGACTTTTGCTAATACTTTTTGTTTAACTGACTTTCTTGAGATCTATTTATATATATTACTGTTATTTATAGCCATGAATCTTTAGTTAAAACCTTATGTATTTTTTATTAATCAATTGAAAAACTATTTATGCCAATTTTCATGGTATGCTAATAGTTTTAAAATAACAGCAAGCACTGGGTGTCTGTGTCTCATTGACCTCTAAACCTCTTAGTCTATATATGAAGCCTTCTACTTGTATTTAGTTTTACATTCTATATTCTTTTTATGTTTATATTTAGCATATACGCATCCCTTTCACTACTAATTAGCAGTTGCTTTTAGCAAAAATTGCGCATGCATAATGAAGAGCTAGCTAGCTTTTTCACATGTAAACTGCTCGGACAGACAACCGAACTAGTTTACTTTCTGTTTGCTGAGTTAAACATATTTGTGGTAGACATTTATTTCAAGACACTCTTAAATGTGCAAGTCTTTCTCTCTGGCGTATGCTGTTTCTTTTCTTGTATAATATATTATGGAACAAATAATCTGATTTGCACAAAACAACGAAAATATAACATCGCCGACTACAACAATGAACGGTCAATTCATTATTTGTTGTTATAGAAGCCGTAATATAAGTCGATAAAAGGTTCAAATATACCAGAATTTTTCATCGTATCATTACCATGTATTAAATAAATAAATATATATATATATATATATGGTAATCGAATCGATTACAGATTTTATTTCGATATTTATTTATTCTAAATAGAACTGAAAAAATTGAGAAGGTTCTCTTTTCATTTTCTAGACAACATATTATATTACGAATTTCTCTTATCCAATAAAGTTCTATTTCTCTATGTATTGTTTATGTATAAAATATCTTACAGGACTGGTATTTCAGCATATGCTTGAATTATTTTTGTTTTTATTGCAATTAGAACTATTGTCCGTCATGAGGTATACATCAATATGTAGAGCTATTTTATTTTAAAGATAATATTATTGTTTTTATTATCATCAAAAGAACTTATAAAAATCTTGAAAAAATCTTTTTCACACATGGAACAATGATGAATTTATTCTCAAGGTATTATAAATCTATACGAAAAAAAAAGCATTGCCCCTAAGATTCAAAACTCATCATTTGTTGACACTTCATATTGTTGTAGAAACAATTTTTAAGTCTATTTCTAAATGAAAACTAGTTTCAATGCGATCGTATTCTTATTAAAAAATTATGAAAGAAAAGGCTGAGAACTAGCGGTAACAGCATTACCTTAATATATATATTTTTTATGGTATTGTATTAGAAACTGTTCGTTAGTGATAATGAAAGAATTGAATTGTTTTGAAGAATAAACTATGAAATACAAGGTACTGACGCAAATATATTTAAATGTCTCTTTGAATATGAAAACAAAAACGTTGTTCTTTTTTTATCACAAAAAAAAAATAATATATATATGATTGTAAAAGTCTTCTCTCAACAAATGTAACAAATATAAAGAAAAAAAAAGCACCACATACTCATCAATACTTCGTAGATATATATATATATATATATATATATATCACAGCCTTTTTTCTTTTATTAGTCACCAAATTGCATTGTTTCAATTTTTTCACACGGTCTACCAGTTGTATTTGCTGGTATATCATCAACAGCAAATTGTACCTCAGAATATAATGATAGATCTTCTTCTTGATCAAGCATACGTTGATATTGTTCATTTAATAGAAATTCATGATCTAATTGTTCATGGCGATGTTCTTCAACCCCCTTAATCCAAGTAAATATATTTAATAATTTTTGATGATCAATATCACAATCAAATAAATTTTCATCTAACGCTGAAAAATGTCGAGATGCGATAAATTGTAAATAAAGATTTCCTGAGCCAGACTTTTTCGATTGTTTAGCTAAATGTGATTGTTGTTGTTGTTTTACATGCCGAGAAGAATTGGCTGAAGACATTGGTTGTGCTGTTCCATTTGTTCGACGAAGACGAACAGGTGGAGTTGGCGGATTTGATGCTGATAGTTTTAGAGTTACCTGTTGTTGATGATGATGATGATTATTATTAGACAAATACGGAGACTTAATGCGAGGATGGATTGGTTGTTGTGGTGTCGGTTGACTTTGTGATTGTTTATCTGCTTGAATAAAATTATTGTCCATTGATAAACGAAGAACTTCTAGGCGAGCTTCGACTTCAGCATCGGATGAAACACGATGAACTGCTGTTGGAGATGATGGTGGTTGTTTAGGATGAGCAAATGGTGAAGTAGTAAACGAAGGAGAAGTAGGAGATAAACCATTTGGTGTACTTCCATTTACTGCCTGTGAATTTTCTCCCGAACGACGGCGATATTTATCAATTTTTTGTTTGATAGGAGCTTTGACATTGTGAGTAATACGACGTTGATAAATTTGACCTAGGAAAGAAAAATTATTGTTTTAATTAAATAATTAATTAAAATGAAGAAATTTACCAGTATTAGTTCGTTCTCTAGTCGTTGCTTCTTGTATAAGCGAAGCTTCAACATGTATTTGTGGTATGTTTGTTCGAACTCGAACTGATGTTCCTAATGTTCGCTGTTGATTTTTATCAACAGTACTACTTGATAAATGAATATCACCCGTAGTATCACCCGATTTTTTTTGAGGTAATACAGTTTGTTTCATTGTGTTGTGATTGATTTCATTTGTTTGATGCGAATGTTGTGATCGACGACTAGCTGGTGGTACTGCACTTGGATTAACTGTATCTTCAAAATCACCGTATGTACTCATGAAATTTTCTGTTGACCGCTTTGTAAGCGCATTAAATATAGATGAAATCGAAGTCGATGGAGCAAGACCATTGCTTTTTGGACTAGCATTTGTTGAAACCTTTTTTGACTGAGGACGATAATGAAGCTCATCATGACTTTGAATTTGTCGTTCGCAATCTTCATTTGCATCTCGTATAGACGGAAAATGTGTTTCATATAAGTGATTCGAAGTAGGTTGAATGCGATTATTAGCAAATGCATTCGATCGACGAGCAGCTGATGCTGTTGTTAAATTGCTAGTTGAAGTAGGAGAATAAGCGGGGGTTTTTCGAGTACCAGCCACGCATAATGCAGCAGTAGTTTCATTTACAGCTTAAAATAAAACGATCAATATATTTTTTTGTTTTAAATTCTAATATTCCTCTTCACGTATAGAAATGTTGAATGATTAGTTACGAAAGAAAAACCTTTATTCAAAAAATCAAAAATAAAAATAAATAAACAATTTCGATTATTTGAAAAAAAAAGAAGAGATATTCTGATTTGATTGCATAAATAAAATTCTTTGATTTAAATCATTGTAATCGATAAAATAGTCTTCTATTGATTAAAAAATTATTGTTTTCTTTGACAACTTATTGACTAAGACGGATTTTTTTTTCAATACTGTATGTAATTTATATTTCAAATGAGAGAATAACATCAACATCAGAAGAGGAACATGTGAGCTTGTGCAATAATAAAATTTCATGAACATAGATGTAATATATGCAGTTCGAAGGATTCATCTCGTTTTCTGCCTTCTATAATTTTACTTTTTTTTCTTCAATTGCCGATGCCAACGAGCGAATCATCTTTTCTTTTCAAATGACGTATTTTCCTTCAGTACATCTAATTAGTTTAGCTCGTACTAAAAGTTCAATTGAGAAGAAAAGACTGATGTATTTTATTTTTCCATATAATAATTTTTATATGGTTGAAATGAAAGCGAGAACAACAGCTAGAGTACATCACCTACTGCTATGTACACGTGTGCTTATTTGAAACTTTAAGATTCATAATACTATGAATAGGAATGAAAATTCTGATTTCTACTAGATTTTTCTGAATACGATAATCATGTCGATGGTCGAATTTTTTTTTCAAATATATATATATATATATGGTTTCAACAAACAAAATTTTCAGTATTATTTAAAAGCGCCTAGAACGAATAAATAAGATTTATTCTCACCATTCTGGATTTTGCCTTCACTATTGCTCCGTAATATTTTATGAAGAATATTTTGTTTACGTTGAATAAGCGTTGAGCAATTGTTCGGCATTTGTCGATAAAGATAATAACGTATTATTGTTAATCTTTTTATTTTTTTATTTCTCTATATTTTTAAATGCAAAAACAGATTACAAATAGGCCATATGACCGTATTAACATAAATGATAATGATGGACTAACGAATACCAAAAGAAATGAATAAGCTCGTTGTAGTAGTTGGCACCTTTGTGTAATGATTGTTTCACAGAAAGACAAGTAGTAACGGCAACAACACGACACATACGTACGTATTTTCTCTCAGAACAATTGAAGAGAGACACAGAGAAGAAAAAATTTGCATTCTCTCGTCTCATTGAAAGTCAAACATCTCCGTCGATACGTTGTCGTGTGTCGTTCGTTCTCCTGATTCTACGTCTCTCTCGCGCTCTCCCTTGCTTGCTCTCTCTCTCTCTCTCTCTTTCTACTTCTCACACTCTTCCATCAAACACATTTGATCTGATTTCATACGTCTATCTACGTGTAATTCTTTTAACTTCATTCTTCATTGTTTACAATACCAAGAAAAACATAAGAAAAGACACAAATTCGAGTGGTTGTCTGCTTGATTGATTAATAGATTCTGGACTTACGTTCTAATATAGATAGACAGAGTCTAATTGAAAAGAAAAATAACATGAATTGATTCGTAGTTGTTTTATTTTTGTTGATGTTTTCGTTAGAGAATCAACATGTCCTATCGACTGAATAACAAATAAAACAGTAGTGGGATGGACGTGATTGTTAATTGATCATATGTAAGGCATGTTATTCGAATGACAAATATAAATGGTAGTATAGTCAAATGATGTATGTTAATGCTCCACCCTCTAGAAAAAAATACAAACAAACTGATTTTTATGTAGAATTGAACAAGTCTATCAGTATATTTACTTAAGTTACACACAAAAGATTGAAAGAAAGTAATTGAGATTTTTTTTTCAATGTCGAGTTATTCTCCAGCTGTCGTTCATTCTTACCTAATTGATTGAATGATTCATTCCATCAATATGTTATTGATATGCAGGTGAATCTAATTGGTGAGAAATATATAATGAATGGATCGCAGTCCATAACCGATAACGTGCCAGCTTGTTATGTGTATATATGTGCGTGTACTATAAATATGACGTTATTATTATTACTGTTGATTATTCAAAATGATGTCTCGATTTCCACCACCACCACTTTTCATTCTTCCGCCTCCACCGATGCCATCATCAGATATATTCGATATTAAAATTGTATCGCAATTAACTTGTTCGTCGATTCGACAACATTATCAACAAACAACGACAAGTCCTCGTTTGATTTTATTTACAGGTGCAAGTCTCATCGTTGCTATTATTCTATTTATAATTACAATTATCTGGTTTTTATCATCTCGTCGCAAGAGAAAAGAATCAAATATTAATCATAATTTTAAATCAACACAACCGCCTAGTTCGATCGATTCAATGTTTAATTCGTCAACGTCTAACAGCAGCTCTTATGAAACTATATCATCTGATCATACTGGTATTTATCTTGAATCTGTTGACACATCGGCTACTATTTGTTCAATCATTACAACCGATATCACGTGCATTGAGTGTAATCGACAACAAATTTTTCAACCTTCATTGTACTATCATATTCTCGGTATACCAGATGTAGTGCCAAATTGAAATCAGATAAAATTTGTATACTTTGTTTATTATGAATTGGAACAGTTATTTGCTTTTTAATGTTATAAATAAATAAAAATTTGTTCATTCAGTTCAGTATAAATTTAACGATTTAGTATTAAACTAAACAAGGACAATCCTACGATATTAAATATATGGTCATTGATTACTGAAGTGATGATTGATTTTTATAAACGAATGAACTCAGTTATTAGCTTTTGAATTTGTAGTAAAAGTTCTTCATTCATTGGCATTAGAATTATTTCTAATTGATTTCTTTATAAATTTGGCATTGCGAGAGGAATTTGTAGCATATTTGATTTTTCTCTTTGATTTAACAAAGTCAAAATTTCATGCAAAAGATAATTTATTTTGAAATAATTGAAAACTTCCATGACAAAGAAAAGCGAAAATTAGATTAATTCATTTTTATTCTCCCAACATACGCTTATTCATTGGAAATTAATTTCATAATCGTTTGGTTTCAATCTGCTTACAATATATAGGATGCATAGTGTAGTCTACTGCGAAAATATATATCAATAATACGCATATACACAAGCAGTTAATATGAAATCAATTCTAAATGGGAAATTAAATTCGTATTGCAGCTCTATTGAATAGCTCTCTTTAACTTGGAGAATATGTTGTGGAGCAAAAAATATAGAGAGAAGAGAGAAATATAGAGATCAAGTAAATATTATTCATTATTTTACATGTGAGCCATTAGAAAGAAACAGTACTTTCTTTTTTTCTTATGAAACTTTGAATGTATTTCTATAATTAAGATGGAGTCAGCGCTCTTAAATTGGGATAAGATACCATTTTTATTCATGTTCATGCTAAGTATTCAATTCAATACTGAAGCATACTCAGTGTATAACAGTAACTCTTCGAAAAATTCATCATCATCAACTTCAGGTTTCAGTAAGTTAGCATGTTCAAGGACGTTTCTTACACATGCTATTAATACTATAGATACCAAATTATCTTTTACCTCTGAAAATGTAACCAAAATAGCCATCTCATCAAATCATCAGTCAATAAATATAGTGAGATCAACTGAAAATCGGACAAAAATAACATCTACAATAACGAGTTCACACAATACATTCGACAATGGTTCTGTAAAGGCAAAGAAGTATGGCCAAGGAACGAAAAATACAATCATACCAACGTTAATGCCGACGAATAACGCAATTAATAGTACAACGGAACAATCTACATACGCAACGACTTTGGTAAATAATTTGCCATTGGTTTCAAACGATACATTGTATGCATCCAATTCGTTTCAAAATGTTGGATTTGATGTTTTAGAAAATAGAACAACAACTGAAAGAAAATTAACAGCAGATATGGACAAACATCATGAGTTAATTAATACTAGTACAACGCTTAACGATTTAATTTCAACATCAGTGGATTTATTTAATAGTAGTCAAACAAATCAGTTCAATATATTTTCAGTACTAAATGAAACAGCATCAATAATCTCATCTGTGACTCGACAACTTAATAGAACTAGCATGTTTTCACTTTGGTATAAGCGTGTTTCTGCACAATTTACAAAAACGTCTCCAATGTCCATAGACAAAATTAATGATGCCAGTACTTCTCCGAGAAAAACCACTATAAAAAGCCCGTATATTACCATGCTGCCAGCCTGGGACCCTGTCGTTAGTGACTTGGTCAACGCCAGTGAAACAATAAATACATCTTTAGTTACATCATCCAGCAAAATGAATACCCTATCATTATCAAATTCTATAGTTACATCATATATTAACAGTCCACCTAACAGCGGCCCGAAGAGTAGTCTGAAGCAACTTTTTAATGTTAAAAAAGGAATTGAACATACCACATTACTACAGCTTCGATTATCATCTATAGCTCAAAAACAGACATCTACTGCTAACTTCTCAAAAACTGAAAAAGCCCACAATATACTAGATAAACGTTTCCCTGCATCTTTACGTCGTATCAAAAGAGATGTTTTACTTCAGTCATCATCGCCTCAAGAACCTTCGCCTCCATTATCCTCTACGATAAATGCTGTTTCACAGCAAACAACATCGACAAATTTATCATATGAAAGCCAAGTGAATCAACTATATACCACCCAAATTCCGGGCTCTCCCACTGGGGTAACATCAGACGTATTATTTGCAAAAGTAGAGAGCAGTTCTAATCACAGTTCTAACAGTACACCAGCGACTGGTGTTTCTGCGGAAAGTGCAATACCAACAATTTCCAGTATTCCGGAAAGACCTGTTTACACTTCGGCTTCTATTCCATTAGCGATGAACACAATAGGCGCAGCCAATGCACCATCTTCGATCGCATCACCATCAATTGGTCTTTCCAATCAAATGACATCGGGGCAGCTAAGCAGCACACTGCAGCCTTATATCAATTCCATGAATCCCGCAACCTCCAAAACAGCCGTATTGCCGGTGAACACTCCTGTTTTGCTGAAGACAGTGACCAGTGGTGTTTCAGAGGAGAGTGCAGCACCAGCAATTTCCGGTAGTCCCGTTGGACCTGTTTACACTTCGGCTTCTATTCCATTAGGGATGAACACAATAGGCGCAGCCAATGCACCATCTTCGATCGCGTCACCATCAATTGGTCTTTCCAATCAAATGACATCGGGTCAGCTAAGCAGCACACTGCAGCCTTATATCAATTCCGTGAATCCCGCAACCTCCAAAACAACCGTATTGCCGGTGAACACTCCTGTTTTGGTGAAGACAGTGACCAGTGGTGTTTCAGCGGAGAGTGCAGCACCGGCAATTTCCGGTAGTCCTGTTGTATCTCTTTACACTTCGGCTTCTATTCCATTAGGGATGAACACAATAGGCGCAGCCAATGCACCATCTTCGATCGCGTCACCATCAATTGGTCTTTCGAATCAAATGACATCGGGACAGCTAAGCAGCACACTGCAGCCTTATATCAATTCCATGAATCCCGCAACCTCGAAAACAGCCGTATTGCCGGTGAACACTGCTGTTTTGCTGAAGACAGTGACCAGTGGTGTTTCAGCGGAGAGTGCAGCACCAGCAATTTCCGGTAATACCGTTGGACCTGTTTACACTTCGGC